GAGCACATTCTTTGAATCGCTCTAAAAGTGGCTCGTTATCAAGCGATGCATCCACTTTATAAGAACTGCCAAACTGATGGCTCATCTTACTCATTAAAATATATTAATTACCTCACTTACTGTCACTTGATAATTTTGCTGATATTTATTTTATTTGCTATCTAAATTAATTCTGAGCCCCTGCGGATCCATTAGAAAATGATGATGCGAGCATGTTATCTTACGTCATCCATAAGACCTATAAGAGTAAATAATTGATGTAAGTTAGTTGAATATTACTTCAAAATTCCATAACTATATTTTATTATACTATTATTCATACCCATTTAAAGAGTAGCTCAAGCACTTTCAAGGCCTAAATTTGTTTAATGGTCTGCATATTTTTAAGAATCTGCTTTTAGGAAGGCATAATCTCTATATAAAGGTATTTTATGAATCTCTAAGCATGCAGTTCAGAAGTTAGTATGTTATCTTGTTTTTAAATTCTATTCTAGTTGTTTAAAGTTTCCCATTAGGTAACTAGCATTGTGAATATTTTATTTTTATAATTACTAGGCCAATATGTGATTAAAAAAGCACGTTCTCTTAGTGCTCATTCTGGAATTATTTTACTTATTTTTAGTGTTCTATTGGCTCAAATCATCTAAAGTAATGTACTTAGTGGCTAAGAATATATTCTCTTTTGTTGCATTGATATCTTCTCTTACTTACTTTCCCCAACAATTTGAGGTTACTGCAGACAGCACATAACCTTTGTCTGTGCCTAAACTGTTTTAAAGGCTCGTCGAAAGTCATTGATACAACGAATGATCACAATTCTTTGTTATCTCCATTACTATTTATTGAATCCTTATCTTTCTTTTTCTTTTATTTAATTTATCTCTTAGACTCAACGAATAAATTCATCCACAGTTGACATTCCCTCCCTTTACGATTCCAATCAAAAAGTCCCTCTGCCATCCGGCGAATTGATTCTCTCACCCGTTTGTTCTGATAATGGCGTAGTTTCCGAAACCTGTACTGAGAATCGGTGCACAACTTATGCTGGACTTCCCTCTTCGCGATATAGACGAATTCAATACCAGTCAGCTAATGGCAGCACGAATTTCATCCCTATTGCTGTACCTCAGCGGCCCAACGTGGCAAGATCCCAGCACCAACAGCAGAATTGGCCTGCTTACCAGCTTAATGCAGATAGTATTAATCGAAGGCTCCATAAAGTAGTTAGATCAAAGTCTTGGCAAGGATTCCTTGAGCAGAAAGTATCTCATTGTCTTAACGAGTCACATTTGGTATCGGTAGGAGGCCCCCATACAATTGAGCTATGTCTATCGAGTCTGTTGTCTTTACATGACTACATTTTGACTGACCCCATCCGAGTCCTGCAATTGACA